TTTTTTTTTTTTTTTTTTTATCAGTTCAATTTAGTCGATGTTTTTTTTTTTTTTTACTCAAGTCGTTGTCTTCCTCCAGGACCGTGTGCCCAGAAATCTGTAAGTGTAATGATTAATCAAACATAAATTTACCTACATAAAAACAAACACACACACACACACACACAATTAATTTACTTTTTATTGTTTCAGTTTTCAATTTTACAATGACACATAACTATCCTGAGTGAACTTTTTTTTTTTTTTTAAAGGTAACAAAATAAGTTGTCTATTTCCCCCCCATCTGTCCGTATCACAAAAAAATTTAATTCAAATTGCCATTTGTTTGTCAGAATTTCTTCTTTTTTTAAATCTTTTTTTAATAAATTCTAACAAGTACTTTTTTATTAAACAATGAGATTCGATTTTCTTTTTCTTAATGGAAACAGAAACTTCAGGTAAGTTTGATTTTTAATTTGTGTGTTTGCTCATCATTTTAGTTTTCGAGAGGAAATAATAATCTAATGTTGAAATTCCGAAACAGATTTTTGAACCAAACCTACTAAAATTACTGTCAATAATTTCCATGGTAAGAGACGTAAAAATTATTTTTCGCTAAAAATCCAAGTATTGTTGATTCGCACAGAACTGAGATCCAAGATTTCCACTATTCACGTCGTGTTCAGGGTTTTTCGCAGTTAGGGATAGGGTTTTTTTTTTTGTTTTTTTTTTTTTTAACACATATTTATAAATTTATTGCGTGCAATAAAGTTTAGGTGTGTCTTTTAGTTTTTTTAAGTTTTTTTAGTTTAGTTTAAATTCAATACATGCAGACTTTGTTCATCACTTTTTTGAGGGCGATATTTTGGGTTGCATCCTAGAATCATTGATAATTTTTTCTACGGGTGATATTTTTGTAAAATAAAGGCGTACTCTATTTTTTTCAGAGTAAATATAATTTTTCCTAAAATTACCTCGAAAGAAGCATTACCGCCTTTGAAATTAAATTTGTTTATTTGACAGATAATTATAACGAATCTGTTTTATAGGTACCTCCACTAATTCGGTAAAAATAAGATTTAATGAATTTTTAAAAAATGAAAAACTTTTCTTGAAGCTTTTATTTTAGCTTTAATTTGGAAGCTAAAAGATTTAAAAATCTTGCAAAAATATTTCTGAAACGTTATTTAAGGAAAATTAGTAAATTTAAAGTTAGTTAATCAGGTTTTAAGAAAATATCATTTACTAAACGTAAAATGTTGTATACAACGAATTGACAACAAAAATAATAAATATTAGAATGTTTATTTTTTATTGAATTTACCCTAGATAAAATCCACTAAGATACTGGGTGTGAAAGAATTAGAAAACAAACATTACTAACGAGATAGAACAATATAGTAACTGTCCTTCTGATTACTCTTTTTTTGTTCTTGCTCATTATTAGTAATGTTTCTGTTTATAATTCTTTATAAAGAAGACAGTAGATAGCATTGCCTTTACATTTTTAAAGATCAAAATTAACAAGAAAGCATTTTTACACTATTGTTTATTGGAATGGTTGACAAAACATTCGCAAATTGCCAATCGATTCAAACTACATCCTGTCTGAAGTTATTATGCAAATTGAACAAACCTCAATAACTCAAAAAGTTCTGAACCAATAATTGTCAAATTTAAACTCGTCCATTTCCACACTTAATCAGTTTTTGATGATTTTATATTACCTTGTTATTGAAGTAAAATGTGATTATTTGGTTTTGCCTAATTACAGTTGGCAGTTTTTTAGAATGCATCAACAAATATAACTTTAGTTTAATAACTACCTAAAAATTTTAACTCAGGCTTTCTTTTGACGTCTAAATTGATTGTTTAAAATTTGACAATTATTTTCAAACCTAATTTGAATTATTGAATTTTATGATTTGCTTAATGACTTCAGACAGGGTGTATATAAAATGGTAAATAACAAGGATTTCAATAGTTGTTTCACGTTTTAATAATTCAGTAAATGTTTACAAATTTATGAATAAAACATGTTTTCATTTTCATTTTTTTTTATTTTTTCAGTTAAATGATACTTTATGTTGGTGGCCCAATTCTGTAGTTGGTGACATTCAGGTTCTAGGTCTATCCTTCCTCAAGAGTCAAGACATATGTGTTTTGACATCGTAAGAAGACACCAAGTATGAAGCTTACTTTGGTATCTGTTGGGGTTGGGGTGATCCCAGTACATACTGGAAAAGTCATAATCCCACTCTTTATGCTCTGGTCCTATTAACAGGTGTCATGATAAATTATTATTAGTGGCATACTACGATAGTTGATGCAGTAGAAGCATGGTTGACTACTTGGGCAAACTAATTTCCCAAAAGCATATTAATTTTCAGGCGGAATCATCTCAGACCTGTTAATCCCCTTTGACAGTGGTGTGGTCATATATATATGCGTGTGTGTGTATATAGGCACAGTGGAGTAATGGATAGTGGCTCAGATTTAGGAATCTGAGAGCTGAGTTCAAATTCCAGTCAAGTTTGTTACATTCATTTTTGGAAAGGTATGAATCCATCTGTTCTCCCTCCAGCTATAGGTAAATAGCAGGACAGACTGGGTCTTATAACCTTAGGTAGCAACTATTCTAGGACAACTCAGAATTAAAAACATGAGGAGGGTTGCTTGGAGACCTTGTGACACACTATGTGCACCAGTTCTCTGTATCTTCTAAAAAGTGTGGTTGGTTCTGCACAAGCCTTCACTATAGTCAAATTGTATGTATGGCAAGTACTGGATGTTTGCTTCTAAGAACTGAGTTGCTGTACTCTTTTATGTGGAACATGATAGAAGAGTGTATGTATGTATGTGTGTGTGTATATATATATATATATATATATATATATATATATATATATATATATATATAATTGCAGCATCTTTACAAATAATTACTGTTTCATTAATTTTACATTTATTGAATTGTCAGCTTGTAAACAAGCATGAGTTCTTAGATGACTCTAGACCAACAGAGGTTTGCATGGCTTGAAGCATACATGATATACAGGGGTGGTCATCATGACATGATTTATTGGATCATGTTGATAACATCATCCTCATGAATCTTCATGTGTCTTTTCAGACCTGGATTTGATTTACAGATTGTGCATCTGAAAATTGTCATGAGATTTATGGTGGTTGACATAACTAGATTTCTACCTCAAAACATGATAACGAATATTAACCTTCCCCAAATTAAATTCAGGTAGGCCATCAGATATAGCTCCCATTCTTCAATTTTTCCATTTATAAATTATATATATATATTTATATTTGGTCACTTATTTCTGAGTATGCCTGTTTACATGGATGGCAACCTAATCCCTGTTACAGAAGCCTGCTCAAGCATATTTGTGTTTGTTCAACACCCACAGAGCCAACCTGTGGATTATACTGCAACTTTGCTTAATTCCAGTTTCTGGGAGACAGCACATAGTCTGGTGTAACGAGGCCAGTATGCTCCAACCCTATTGTGATGATTTGTGACCATGCTAGTACAAACATCAGCAGCTCCTAAAGAATTTTGGCTATCCAATTTCACTCACAAGGCTTAGGTCATTCCATCATGGTTTTTCAGGAAGTTCTCAGTTATGTCACATGCTGTGGTCACCTCCCCAGGGTTATATTATCAAGAAGTCAACTCCTGGATAAATCAGCCTTGATGAGATTGAAACATCTGGGTCTCATGAAACACCAAAACACATTAATGTTCTAATCACTTGGATGGATATATATATATATATATATATATATATATATATATATATGTCTACTTGTATTTTAGGAATACCCATCTACTAGGGCAGCTGGCCAATCCTTAATTCAGACACTCGCTTAGGCACATTTGTGATTTGTTCAACACCCACAGAGCCCACCTGTGGTTTATATTGCAACTATGCTGAGCAGACCTTAGTTACAGTTTCTGGGAGAGAGCATATTATCTAGTGTGATCAACAATCTGAACAAGGCCAGCACACTCCAACCTTCAGTCATGATGACTTGTAACTTCATGCTAGCACAGCTATTGATGGTCGTTCAATATACGCACACCACAAAATCCCAATTGGTAAAGTCAACGAAGCCTGCCAGGTGACCAAAGAAATTACTAATAAAAAGGAAGACTAACAACCAATAAAACAAAAACCAAGGAAAAAGTAATGATAAACTAAGAAGAAAATATCAAAAGCCAGACACCTACTAAAACAGTAATATACATTACTCTGTCTAAATTACCAAAACAGCAAATATGCTTCTCCACATCATTACTCAAGACAAAGTTCATACTGCTGTTCAAGCTAATGCAATCATCAGGTGACTAGAACACAAATGAATCTGTTACTTCTTTATTTATCTGCATTCTGGTTACCTGATGATCACAGTAGCATGAACCTCAAATAGCAGTGCAAACTTATATTTATGTAAACACACTTATTTAAGCAAGAGTATTTCACATTTCACTGTCTTGATAGCCAAGGTAAAAATTTAACAAATTATATATCTGAAATAAGTGTCATTGCATTAGAAAATTATTGCTAAAAATTTACATACTTGATACTGATTATGAATTTATTTTTATTTTTTTTCAAGGGTCTGTTCAAGGCTATGTTTAACATCAAACATGAATGAATGCTGCAACGATGACGAAGGGTATGATATTCCACATCCACTTCATAATTCCGAAAATCGAGAGAGGACCTTTACTTCATGGAGCAACCCTTATATAAATATTGAAAGTTTGGCATATGCGGGCTTCATTTATGTTGGACCAGGAGACAAGGTCAAGTGTGTTTTCTGCTATTTAATCATAGATAAGTGGCTCCCTGGTGAGGTTCCTTTTAAAAAACACTTGAATCTGAAGCCTGATTGTCCACATATAGAATATCTTCAGGAAAAAAATGAAAATCAACAAGAAATTAACCTTGGTATCATCACACCGACTACTCCAGCTCAACCAGATTACCAACATCTGGATGCAAGAAAGAAAACATTTGAAAATTGGCCATGTAATCACCCTCTTTCACCAAATGACCTTGCAATGGCTGGATTCTTTTATACAAGTAAGTTACATTCATTATTTATTTATAGTGTGTATATATAATGTGTATGTAAAATATATATATATATATATATATATATATAAAAAATATATATATATATATATATATATATATATATATATATATATATATATATATATATAAGTAGCAACTGTGAGAGTTGGGCTTGTCAGAGTGAGTCAACATTCAAGTATATCTATTTTAAAACAACAAAAATCTTTCATAGTGCATCGTTTTCATTCTTGACTTCAGCTGGATCCAAAATCAATTGTTTTAATTCTGTGCCTCAAAATATCGACCATAATACATTTCATTGATATTGTTCATAATAAAGAAGAAAGAAAATAAAAACAAATAAAGATAGTTACAAAAAAAAAAAGAAGAATGAAATAAAAATAACATGGCTAGTTGGGCTGCATAGACCTGAGCCCTTTCAAGCTGGAGATATACTTAATAGGCAATGTATTTCTTGCTTTAATTTTATAAATAATCTTTTAAAAATCTCTAATGACTTGTAGCTATGTTTTTCAAAGAACACATTTCTATTTCAACTTACTATTTTCAAATGTCCATTTTAAATAATTTATTCCTTACAGTATACGGTTTTTTTTATCGGAATGTATCAATTGAAAAGGGTAAATTAAATTTTGCCCAACTTAGTCAGCAAAAATCAAAGAAAGTGGTAGCCTTAACTCGTTTACTGGAGATTTGTGATTAGGAGTGTAACTGGAGTAGTGTTGCTGGAATATGATATCAGTCAGCAGTACTGATCATAAACATACAATAAATTAAGCTAAAAATTCACAGAGAGACACATAAACACACTAATGTGTAGACATATATACAAACACATGCTCAAGATAGATACACACGTTTTACATGTCTGAAAAAATTTTTTTTAAATGTTTTATTTTTATAGAATTATTACAAATGAATAAACTATTAAAATACCAAAATGTATTATATATTTTAGAGTAAAGGAATCATTTTAGTATCTAAGTTATACCACTAGTATATTTTGTTAAAGAATGTAATGAGCCCAACAAACATTGATGACCTTGTAGGGACATTATTATTATAATATAAAATAATAATGAAAATTATAAATAAAATAAAAAATAATATTAAAACGCTGTATAAAATAAATAAAAAAATAAAAAAAATACTCCCAGCATGCAACAAAAACTGTTCCTGTCGGAAAGATGGACATCCGGACAAAAGATGTTAAATTCACTCTCTTCAGCGCAAACCCCCAAGCAGGCAACATGTGTAACTTCTCTCTCTGTGATATAGCTTGTAATACGAGAGTTGCTTCCCTTTGACCGATACTCCATATTTTCATTCAATGAAACCCTTCTACAAAAACACCTACTCTATAGGAGCCATATCTATTTTGCATGTCAAGGACATGCAAGCCATGGTGTAAATGATTTGATAAAAGTTTTATGTAAAATAAAACTCAGCTCAAGAACATCTTCCACCATTAGTCATATTCCACAAGAGCCTAAAAACAAATGGCAGTCAGAAAGATAGTAGCACAAGTTGGTATGGTAACTCACAGCTTTTCAAGGTTTCAACTATAATGACAAGGATACAGTTTTAAGATATGTTATATATTTATCAGAAATAGAGGTTATGTAAAACTTAAAATTGTCTGTCCCAGCACTACTTTATTTAATGGCTGCAAAAACAAATGATGGAATAGGCCATTTTCATATAAAAAAAAGCAAGAAAGGGAGGAAGTGGGGGGAAATGTTTCAAGCATGACGACAGTTAATGCCATTATCCCAGTTTTATATATTTCAATATATACTTGGTTTTATATTTACAGGTAACCATGAGTTTACTTCTGTTATTTAATGTATTAAGATTACCTATATGTTGCAGTATAATAAGTTTTTCTAAGAGGCAAAGATTACATTTTCCAGTATCTTTCCTGTAACCATTAAATAAAAAAATGTTAGGACAGGCAATTTTCTTATAATTGCCACAAGCATGAAACTTTGAATAATTATATATAGTAAGAAATAACACCATAATTCTTATATGACATGAAGATTGTATTCAAGCATAAAACAGACTGTCACCACTTGTTGACCTCAGTGTCCACTTTTATATTTACATAACCTCTATTTCTGATAAATATATAACATCTCTTAAAACTATATTTTTGTCATATATATATATATATATATATATATATATTAATAATAAGTAAAAAAAAATCCTTAAAAAAATCGATTTCAGTTATAATTTATTTCATGAATATATTTAAATATTCATCTCTTCAGACCAAAGGTTTTTAGAAATGTTCATTTCTAAAATCCTTCTTGACCTTAAATTTTTAAAGATTTCCTTTACACATTATTATTATATTACTCTGTGAGGTATTTTATATATATATATATATATATATATATCTCAATGAGTAAAGTTGGGTAGACAGAACTGTTTGTCAATGGTTGTGCTGTCACAGGTCATAAGTTTCAGCTTATTGACCTTATTGAAACTATTGATCACATCAGCTGATATGCTCTCATTCAGAAACTGTAAATAAGGCCCATCCAGCTTAGTTGCAGTATTAACCACAGGTGGGTTCTGTAGGTATTGAACAAATACAAGTGTGTCTGAGCAGGTATCTGCAGCAAGGATGACTAGCTGCCCTAGGAAACAGGCATATTCAGAAACCCTTCTATTTCCATGTCCAGAACAGTAGATCATTCTCAAGTCCTTCTTTTGTATAAGATTGTAGGTTGGGCCATAGAGCAGTGATTTAGTTGGATGTTGTTTCCAAGTGATGTTAATTATAGCTCTCAGCATCCGAGTATATGTTCCCCCAAGCTTAGACTCTAGGGGCTTAGTTAATGCCAAAGCAGAAGAAAATAAAAGGAATATAAAGTAAGAAAGTGTTTACTTTATACATTTCTGAAACTGTACAAAATGTTTACAAATAAATTATTATGAAGTCCCAAAATGATGCTGTGAAGGATATTTGTCATAGAAACTTACTGGCGAAATAATTATATTTTAAATAAGTAAAGAGTGATTGGTTTAGTTTGGCTTATTTTGTTTTACAGCATATCAACCTCAGTGAGTTATTTAATGCTGACAGGATTTTTAGGATAGTTTCATATGAATAGAACATGTATTCGTTGTAAGAATTCATTTTGCAGATCAGATTTCATTGCCATATTTTGGTAAAAAGGTTTTTTTTTTTTTTGTCTAGAGTTTGGTGTTAATCTTTTTTTCCAAAAATGTATTGCATCAACTTTGTGTCTATGCATGTATATAATGAATGTCATTGCATTCCTAAATGTTGCATAGTTTGAGTTGATGCATTGATGTATGTATGTATGTATGTATGTGTGTGTGTGTGTGTGTATATATATATATATATATATATATATATATATATATATATATATATATATAATAGAAATTAGGAGGATTTGAGATAATTTTAATTAATTAATCGAGTCTAAAAGAAACCTCAACAGAATGCAGAAAGCACTGGACAGCCATTTCCTCCTATATTTGGAACTCATCAGCAGTGTGCATCCACTACCAAGAATTGAAACCCAGACAGATAGATGGGGATAGTAGTTGTGGCGTGTGAGGCCACAGTCCTATGGGTAAAAGAGAAACTCGGATGAGTTCCACCACGGATATGTGATCGAGCAGCACTATATCAAGTCTGATTCACTACCTCTTTGTCACCAAGGCCCGTTGGAACAGTTGGTATGATGTTTGCCTGATAACATAATTGTCTGGGTTTCAATTCTCGGTAGTGGATGCACACTGCTGATGAGTCCAAAATATAGGACAAAACGGCTGTCCAGTGCTTTCTGTATTCTGTTGAGGTTTCTTCTAGACTCGATGAATTACTTATATATATATATATATATATATATATATATATATATATATATATATAACTTTAAAAAACAATCAAAAATACAATTAAATTAAGCTACAGTTGCACTAGTAGTTTAGAAGCTATAATAAATAGTCAAAATACCAGAAATCTCTAAACTAATGTGCAGCCATATATAACAAGTAATTTATGCAACTGCAGAAATAAGAATAGATGTTCATTAAATAAAGCTTGTAAAACAGAAGCTATAATTTATAAGGCAGAAGTAACAGATATTAATAATCAAAATAAGACATATATAGAATGTACAGAAGGCTCTTTTAAGCGTAGGTGGTATAACCATAGATCATTGTTTAAGCTAGAAAATCTTTGATACTCTACCAAACTTGCTAGCCATATATGGAATTTAAAAGAAAAAAACAACAGGGATCCGTATGTAAGGTGGAAAATTTTAAAAAAGGCAAACCCATACGACAATCATAACCACATTTGCAACCTGTGTCAACATGAGAAATTAGCAATTGACATTTCTGGATCCAAAAAACCTTTTAAACCAGAAATCCAAAATTTTAAATCATTACCTTCATATCAAAAAATTATGTGTTTAGTAAATATGAAGCTGGATAAAAAAAAATATAATTTAAAAACCCACTGTTATATTTACAATACATTTGCTTTTCTTCACTTCCTACTCTCTCTTACATTTACATTACATTTGTTGTCTTTTCTTTTCTACTTCTTCCTTTTCTTTATACATTTACAATACATTTGCTTTTCTCTCCTCTTCACCCTTCTCCTTCTTTTCCTTCTTTCTTCTCCACACCCTCCTCCTTTCTATTACACTTAATGCCATGCATTTGTTTGTTTATTTTTGAAAATACTAATGTAGTGTTCTTTGAGTTTTTTTTTTTTTTTTTTTTGGGGTTTTGTTTTAAATAAAAAGTATTAGGTGGTCAGTTTATAAAGTCAATAAGGTTGTAATCAAGGTCGCATATTCAACTGACCTCACACATGTATTGAGCACTTTTTAATACTACTGTTTCCTGGTCAGTTTCAACTCTGATCATTAACCTTATATATATATATATATATATATATATATATATATATATATATATATATATATATATAGTATTCATTGATCTTTGCAAATCACTTGGTCCTTTTCTTTGTCATCTCAGCAAGAACACGATTACAAATTCTCAGACCCAAGTGCCAAATTTTCATACTTATAAAAGACTGACTTTTCTGAAGTTTTCTTCAAAGCAATTATTTCATATTTTGATTAAAAATTTGACAATTCAAAAGCTAGAGTAAGTTTTTTTTTTTTTTTACCAACAAAAATTTGCTAATATATTTCTTCCTGATCTCAAACCAAACTTCCAATTCACATCTTCATTAATCAGTGAATTTTAAAACCACTGAAACTGTGACCTAAAGAAATAATTGTTTTTTTTTCTTTTTGCAAAAATCAAATGATATTCAAAATTGTCTAAATATATATGGTCCTTTGCCTGTTGTACATCAGTTTTAATTAATCTTTACTTTTTTTAGATGCCATTGTCAACCACACATCACGAAAAGACACTCTCAAACTTGAAACATTCCAGATATACAAACAAGAAATGATAATTTCAATACTTCAGAGATCTTATTTTCTTATTTCAAACAAACTCAAACACCTTTTAACTAGTTTCTTTGCATCACTGTGCACATTTCTTGTCCTCGGTTGAGCTCTGATGAGAGAGGACTGATAAACTGGTTAAGTTGCATTTTTTGTTAATTGTGTTTTGTATTTCAATATTACCACTTTTTGATAAGGTAATCTTTTTTTCTTACCCTTCTTTTTTTTTTTCTTGTTTCACCATGTCTGTTTTTATCACTGTTATTAAATTCTGTATCCCTGTTAAAATATTTCAATGCTTGCAAGCTAGCTATACTGTGGCCATTTTTATCTTAACTAATATGGTTTTTCATTTTGCAGAACAAGGGGACAAAGTTCAATGTTTCTATTGTAACTTGTCAGTTGAGAAGTGGGAACCTAATGATGATGCTTATGTGGAACATTGCCGTTTCAATTCAAACTGTCCGTTCATGCTTATGCAAAAGGGAAAAGAATTTATTCAGGTAAGAAACCTTTACTGTATTCCAATTATTACAATTAACTTCTGTCAAGAATAACAACAGATAAAAGACACACCTCCTTATATTTAATATTACAGTTTTTAATATTAATATTTAATATTACATGTGGTTAGAGTAATTATAACTAAACATTAGCCTACCTCAGTTCAACATACAGAGTGTGACAAAAATAATTCCCACATACTGGTAAGACATGAGCTAAGAGAGAAAACACTATTGCCATTAATGTCTTATGTGAGAGGTATTTCTAGGAGGTATAAATGGCAGGTATTTATGTTTACAGCAACCTGTATAAGAAATAGAACATTTTCATTTTTGATGAAAAAGGTGGGTATCTTAAATACCATTAGATGTAGTAATTAACTATTTGGAGACCAGCAGTGTATTTTTGTACATAAAATGTCAGTGGATATTATCATATCAACAAAATTGAATCCTAGAATCACCAGTCAAGAAACTAAGCATTGAAACCAAAATTAAAATTGTAGTGCTACTAAAATTAAAATAACAATCTCCAAAGCTTAGCTACCAAAGTTGGTTTCACTCTTGCTTTATATATAAGTGGTATAAACGTTGGTTGGCATATGGAACCCATTGTCTCCTGCAATGATAAGACAAATGCAAAATGGATTCATATCAACGGTATCAGAATTCAATCATCAGAAGAGTTTTATCCAGTTCCAAGCCATGTTTCCTGATGCCAATATATATATGGAGACAGTCAAAAAGTAATTACTGACTACCGAGTTCCAAGGACATACAGCTTGTAATAAAGTGTTGCTGATGACATTGAAGAAAACTACAAATATTGGTTGGATTTTGTAATATGACAACAACTGGCTAGAACTCAAGAAATGTGGTCCAATGCAAATTCAGTTTGGTTGGATTCAATGACAAAAACTTTTATCTGGTAACATGATACTTACTAAACTTCCTTTACTATTAAATATGGCATGTAGAGATGTTTTGTCAGCTTCTGAAACTACTTCGTTCATAAAAATTGGAGACTTATGAACAGTACTGTATATTTACACTATTTACATGTGGATTATTGTCCTCATTTTTGTTGTTATCACTACAAGACAATAGCCTAGTGGATTAAATCATTTGTTTGTGAATTTGGGGACATAGTAATTGTTTGTTCAATACTTACGCCAGGCGGCATACACTTAAATTCAGTGAAAACAGTGCGAGCAGTAACAGATCAGTACTAAATATACCTAAACATGGGTAGTGGAACAAAAACCGTTTACTACCATAGATTAAATAAAGGGCTCAGTTTGAAATTCCCACTAGGTTACCCAGATTAACATACACCTGATGAATGCCAGAGAACACAGTAGCCGAAATGTTGTAATAACAACAAAGATTAGGATGATTGTCCACATGTAAATAACAGTAACTCTTCATCCCATAAATTCAGGCAAAAATTGGTACTGGATATATTGAATTGTTAGTGAAGATTTTATTATCATATACTTCAAGTAGTTTGCCACATGGTTGGGCAGTCAATACTACTTATGTAAATTGGTCCACTCATAAAAAAAAAATAAAGAAAATTTTTTCAGAAGTAGATTAGCTTTCATTAGACATTCCTTAAGCTACAACATTTATCTGATTTGAAAAATATTGTCTTTTTTTTTTTTTTAAATTGATTTAATTGTGGGGGTTCACTTCATAATATCAATACAGTGTAAAATGTATGTTTTCACATGCTGAATAATGAAGCCCAGGAAACTCTCAAAAAAATCAGATTTATTTTACACTGTATCAAAATCAGGGACAGAACCCCCTTTCTAAAATGATAAAAATATCAATATATTTTGAGTTTGACAAATGACATATCTTGCAGATGTTCTAGTGAATGATAATCTATAAAAATTGCTTTCTAAAAATTATTTGTATTTTTTACAAGTGGACTATTTAAGTAGTGCAGAATAATGGACCCTGCCCAAGCACAAAGGTAGTTAAAAACCTTTTTTTTTATCCAGAATGGTATTCAGGTTAATGATTGACCATTCAAGTCTATGACTTTAATGCCATTGAAATATTTATAGCCTGTGAGCCAAACTGAAGTTCAAAAATTTAAAACCCAATAATAATAATATTTATTTATTTATTTATTTATTTATACATCCAGAGAAATTGCCTTTCATGCTTGCTAATTTTTACTTATGACATTTATGTTGAGTCATTGGCTAGAAGTCACAAAGCAAGAGATATTCTACTCACTATTAAATTAGAATTTTGAATATTTTTTTTGTAAATTAAATAAAACTAAATGTTTAAATACCTTATGTAATTTCCTATAAGATCCCCATCTCCATTTACATTTAACATTACAGAGTTCTCTGACAAGTATTGTTGGGCTACAGCATTGAAGTAAAGATTAGCATATCTGCTTTATAGAAAAGATCCTGGGAAGGTTTTTTTTTTTTTTTCTTCTTTTTTGTGATATTTTGTATGCCATCAGATTTGGTACTGGCTATATCAAAAAATATTCACCACTATGTGTGCATGTGCATATACTGAATAGAACACATCACTGGAATCAATAGCTCACAATATTCTTGTCAATGGAATACTATGCCATGTGAAGGAATTGCACCCCTTTGGAGGTTCTGGTACATCAACAAGTAAGACAAACAGTGCATCCTCAGACAGCAAATGATTAGTCACTATTAGATGTGCATCCAGTTTGTCCTCAGAAGCAGACACCTCAGAGCCTGATAACTCAGTGATTGTCCCACTAAGAAGAAGCACAATACTAAAGAGGTTCATTCTGGATTTTCACCTGTATGATCATGATATCAGGGGGCAGTATGGCAAACAAGGAAAAAACTAAGTCTTACCTCAAAAAAGTATTTGTGTTCTCTGTGCAATCTGTCGAAAAAGAATATCAAGATCAGGTCAACATTTTGATGTGCTAATTGTTTTCACTGCTCTACCAGTCTTAACCAATCACAACCTTTTTTATCCTAATAGAATAACACTACTTTAGCTCACAAGCAGATTGCTTGGCTCTTCATGTGTGAAGAAAATAGTTGTGTGTGATGTTGAATTTTCTCTTACCCTTTTGATTTACACCCCCAGCATTTTCTAATGTTAGACTTGTGAGACTGATTTATGACCTTTGAAATAATGACCTCAAACTTAGTGTTTTTTGAATCTGAACCTCCTTATTGCTCTTTACCTCACTTATTAAAAAATGATCTTGTGCTATATTAAACAAGAAAAGGCAAGTATGCAGGCTAGTGTAGTTATCTACAATTTCATGTGGAACCCATTTTATTTACATCTGAATCTCCGTGAGGCTTGTAAATGAACTACAATTTACAGTTTAATTTCTAATTTTTCTGCAAATTCATGTATTGTTTCTACTGCAATGTCTTTGAAGTTTTCTCCATTTTATCAGTTTTTTTTAATTCTGAGGTTTTCCAAATCAGTGAATTCATTTTTTTTTTTTTTTTTTTTAAATGATTCTCAACACCTGATTGACTTTATTTAATCTTTGCCACAAACTTCAATGATCCACTACCTCGTTTCTGTTTTACTTTTTCCCAGATAGAACTTGAAGAAGAAATTGTTAAATCTACATTTTATATTCAGCAATGATTTTCACCTAAATTATCACAATTTTTAAACAAAGAGCTGACTAAACTTCAAAGACAACTTCTAAGATTTTCCTAATATTGTGTAAAATATGGTGCAGGATACTTTAGCATCAATCTTATATCTTTCATCTTTTTTCTTATTATATTTGTATCCTGCGAGTCTATGGTAATTGTAATGTTAGCTGTTTCCTTATATGGAAACATTCCATTTTCATTGGCTGAGCCACCAGTGCTATTTCTCATTGAATTTTATAAAATATTTCTATTAAAACAATTTTTCAGGTAAAGAGGATTCTTAAGTCCACTGTTATTGCTCATTCCAGTACTATTGAGGGTTTCCTTCCTAACCTTTTGTTCAAAGTAATGTGGAATATCAGCATCTTGATCATGTCATTATTTTCTCTTCAAACAACATGTCCTATCCATTTTAATTGTTTATTATTTTTATAAATTTAAGACTTGTTGTAGAAATTGTGTTTTATGCATGAAGAATGTAGATTTTATAACTGTTCCAATTTAAAAATAAAATGCAATTTTGTTTAAATACTTTGTTGCCTTATTCATCTGTTTATCTTTTCTTTCTTTTTTTCTTCTAGCAATGCAATCCTGGTGCTGCTGGTAAGTTTTCACGCAGTTTCATTTTAATTTTGATTTTTCAATACTCTACTTGTAATACATTCGCTTTTAATTTATCTTTTTCTGTACTTAAACTAGTGTGAGTGTCTGAATTGGGCCTTGGGGAGAGCATCCAGCCTTATAAAACTTTGCCTCAAATCATTAGGACAAATCTTTTATCAGGTTGGATCATTAATCCTACTCCTGCCTCGACTAAGAGCATGCCAATGTATGTATGCATATAATGTTCAACACTTATTGAAGGCCAGCTCTGAGGTTCGTAATTTTTCAATCACTCATTGGAAATCATTCTTGCCAAGAATTCCAATGAGTGATTGAAAAATTACAAAACTGAATTAGCCTTCAATAAGTATTGAACAAAACAAAGACAAATAACAGCAAGTCTTCAGCTGCAGCAGCTGTAACAAAACATCTTTTTTTTTCTCTGTATCATTCTGTCTTCAGAATAATCAATGCTTTCATCACCATTTACAAATTGTCTTTTCTCACTTAATTGCCAAAGTAGGAAGATCCAGAACTAAGAAATTTTTAATGAAATCTCTTGTAAACTGCTTTGCAAAGATTAATGGTTAGTTTTACATCACCCACACAGCATATGTTCTAAGATGTCCACAACAGTCACCTGAAAACCACAAAATGAAGACTGTACCTCTTAACAAGGACCATTTATTTTGCTTGATTTGTCTTTTTCATATTTTTGTTTTTAAATAATGGAAAAGCGATAACAGTGGAATTTAGAAACCTATTTTCCTGAAAAATGGAGTAGACTCTGTATACTGTTTTTGTTTTTTCATATACCTATTTGAGATTGCCTAATTTATAAATTATGCACAATAAGAGATTAACAACAATAATTTCTGATAAAATAGAAAAGTGATAACAACTTACTATAAGATATGTGACAATATACTCTGCAAGTCCATCACTGCACAACTGTGATGTCATCCAAGGTCGATTGTATGTGCATATACACCCAGCTAGCTATGTCCACAGGTTTGTCTTCTTGGCTGTGATCAAATTCAACAAAGAATAATGAAAAATGCTTTTCAAGACACAGGTTGGGAAATAGCAACAATATGGTTTCTCACTTAACTGTCAATGTTTTCCTTCAGCTTCAACAGTGAACTGTTATCTTGCTGACTTCAGGCCACAGAAAAAGGCCACTTACATTCACTGACCATCTACGCAACTGCTGATTCCTTACTGATCCCTTCCTTACTGGCTGCTGGTCACTTACTGTCTCTCTGACTGCTGGTCCTTTCCTTACTGACTGCTCCTGACTGACTACTCATTGTATGGACACAAGCTGGGGTCCCACCACCCCTATCTGTCCATGTGTGTTCCGGAAAAGGAAACTACTCAAATTTTCAAAGGACTCTACTTTAGGATTATCTAAAATCATTAACAAAATTTTATGTTTGCCAATTCAAAGGCAGGCTGGAGACAAAAATCCTGAAAATTCAGGCAATTAAATTGACTTAGAAGTAAAAGGAATCTAATCTAATCTTATCTATCTATCTATCTATCTATCTATCTATTCTTATCTTATCTATCTATCTATTCTTATCTTATCTATCTATCTATTCTTATCTTATCTATCTATCTATTCTTATCTTATCTATCTATCTATTCTTATCTTATCTATCTATCTATTCTTATCTTATCTTATCTATCTATTCTTATCTTATCTATCTATTCTTATCTTATCTTTCTATCTATCTATCTATTCTTATCTTTCTATCTATCTATCTATTCTTATCTTTCTATCTATCTATCTATTCTTATCTATCTATCTATCTATCTATCCATCTATCTATTCTCCATCTTGTCTCCATCTATCTATTCTTATCTATCTATCTATCTGTTCCATCCATCTATCCATCTATCTATCTTATCTATCTATCTATCTATTCTTATCTATCTATCTATTCTTATCTATCCATCCATTCTTATCCATCCATCTATCTATCTATTCTTATCTATCTATCTATCTATTCTTATCTATCTATCTATCTATCTATTCTTATCTATCTATTCTTATCTATCTATCTATCTATTCTTATCTATCTATCTATCTATTCTTATCTATCTATCTATCTATTCTTATCTATCTATCTATCTATTCTTATCTATCTATCTATTCTTATCTATCTATCTATTCTTATCTATCTATCTATTCTTATCTATCTATCTATTCTTATCTATCTATTCTTATCTATCTATCTATTCTTATCTTATCTATTCTTATCTTATCTATTCTTATCTTATCTATTCTTATCTTATCTATTCTTATCTTATCTATCTATCTATCTATTCTTATCTTATCTATTCTTATCTTATCTATCTATCTATCTATTCTTATCTTATCTATCTATCTATTCTTATCTATCTATCTATCTATTCTTATCTATCTATCTATTCTTATCTTATCTATCTATCTATCTAATCTTATCTTATCTATCTAATCTTATCTTATCTAATCTTATATTGTTAGATATGTAACAGATGTGGTTTTTATATGAGATCTGGGCAACCTCTTTTTGTTACTTTAAGTTAATAGCGCTTACCTTTACACTTAAAGTAAGTGCTTTAGAACTTCTTTTTGGCATATCTGAACTGCCAGCCATATTACTTTTATGCTTCAGTATCATTATTAATTAAAACGTATGATTTGTTTATTTCTGAACTTGATCACAGGGAAAGACTATGGGTAAGGGGAGACAACTATGCTAGATATTCCATTTCAATGTTTTTGCCTCACCTTAATGATCTTTGTTCTAACTGAAAACTTGTTTATTTTTTGTGTGTGTGTTTAGCTACAGAACCCTCCATAGAAACCAGCAACCCAGTCCAAAGTTCACGCCAGGAAGAAATTATGAAAGAAACGTTATCCTTTCAAGGATTTAACAAAATATATATTGACTGTGCATTTCTTCAACAGAAAATTAGAAAAGGTATTTATTTCACTCGTGCATATTCTAGTTTTCTATATACATATTGTGCTTATTTATATCCAGTGTGATGTCATGTATAATTCTATTCTTCCTTCTCCACCACGTATTTTATATATAAAGAAAAAAACATGAATATATTTTTATATATAATGCATTCCTTAATTTACAATCCATGGAAAGAATAAGAGTTAATTTTCAGTTCATGCAGAACATTTTCCTATCATTAAGATAATTTTAGAAAACATTGTAAATTCTATGCTTGAATTTGTTGAGTCACTTAAGATGGGAGACTCTATCATAAAATCATATCTGCCAACTAGCATATGTCGGGTAGCTGTTCATTGATACAAATAGACAAAATTGGCAAATATATGATTACTGTGATTCCAATACAAAATTTCTTACTTTGAAAATGTATACATATGGTCATTATATTTATTTTTAATCTTATTTGAAATATTTACAACTTACTACCCCTTTTAAGATTTGGGGCCACGTAAAAAAAAAAAAAGGAGGGGGTAGTTAAATTAAAATCAATAATTTTAGAGATTATTCAAAACATGGTTTTTCCAGTTAAGTCTCTTTTATTAATGTTAGAATTAAATGGATGCAGATAAGCAATTAATGAAATAAGTAACACTCAGTTGGTGTAATAATATTAAATGATTTGCTCCTAAAATTAATGTTCATCTATGAAAGAAAAAAAAATCTTGTTTTGTGAAGTAGATTTTTCTGTTATATTTATTCACTCACACGCCATCATCAAAATATAGTCAAAGCTTAGCTAGCAAGAGATCAGACCTCACTGTGTTTCCATCATGCACCCATCTACACACTTGTGAACATATGTCATACTAATCTAGACTTAGTAAATAACAATACTGTTTGAATTCCTCCAAGTATTTTTGTTCTCTTATTTTCTTTCTTTCCAGATGTGCCATTTGTAAATTCTGAAAGTCTTTTTAATGCTATTATGGAGTTACCAGGTGCCGAAGAAGCATCCTCTGCACGATTAAAAGAGCCACACAAAACCAGTCAGTTGCTCTTCTTCATTTTTATTTTCTCATTTATACTTGCAAGAATATCTTGTATCGCTTTTTAAAAACAGCTTTCATGCTATACATTAATATTTGTTGACGTTTTAATTTATTTCATCAAAATTTAACATTATTAAAATTTAAAAAATTGGTTTATAAAATTAAACAAACTTCAAAACCTGTCTATATCTCTGAGATGAGGCATTATAATTAATTGTATTATTTACATTACTTGAACTGTTATCCTAATCTTCATTGCCATATTCACAATGTTTCATCTTTTGTACACTCCAGCCTTCTTCGGGTGTGTTGTGATGTGTATTTCTCTCTGAGTAGTATCAACCATAGCACAGTTCTCCACATTACGTTCAGCAAACTGGTTCACTGACTAATGCCGCTTTGTTCACCCTCTGCTCTTTATTTAAGTTGTCATCCTCATTTGCCTATGATACTACACCTCCCTGAACATAAAGAGGTCAGACACCCTTGTTTTTTCTACTATTTCTGATTACTCTTGTACTGCGCTCTCCTTACTCTTTTTTTTAAATGGTGATCTTAGTCTTTCTTCATTTCCTTCCTCACTCTCATCTGTCTTTTCACTCTCACTTTCTTCCATTTCCTGCTCTGTTCCACTTTTCTGATTTTCTGTCTTTTCTTGCTCTTGATCTTCCATTTCTACATCATCCAATTCGCTTCTGCTTCTGCATTGAGCCGCATGTTCTATTTTGTCCCTTTTTCTCCAGTATAGCCATGTTGTGTCCTTTTTGTATCAGGAAATTTGCTTGTTCTGGCTTAACTTCTTTATTCTTTCTATACCATACCTTTTCTTTCATTGAAAAGGACATAGTTATGGGGGATCTGATTTGTCTACCCATTAATGCCGAAGGGATCAGCTTTCTTCCTGCATGTGGAATGGGTCTATAACTGAGAAACACTTTTGGTAAATATGCTTCTAGGCTTTCATTAAGTGGTGAGAATGCTTTTAACCCCATTTTTTTTTTTTTTTTTTTTGTACCATTCATTCTGCAATGTCATTATATTGTGGATGATACGGTGGTGTATGGGACACATCCTATCTGTTTCAACCATGCACATAAATTCTCATCACAAAATTCAGATGCATTGTCAGTGACCAGTGTCTGAGGTACTCCATTCCTTGAGAATATCGTTCTTAGTACTTGCTTTATTATGGTGGTTTTTCTGTCTTTTACTCTGACAATCTCTGGCCATCCTGAATACAAATCCACTAATACTAAGAACAATTCCTTATCTTTGATATGCACTTGATCTATGTGGACCCTAACCCATGGCTCTGCTTCCTTGAGCCATGAGTGAATTTTTCTTTGCTTGAAATTTTTTATTTCCGCACATTTTGGGCATCTTTTAATATACTCCTCTACCTGCCATCGAACAATTGCTCCATACATTATTTCTTATTCTCTCCACTGTCATATACCCCATTCGACGAATGGGTTTATAGGGCGATCATACGCCGACTAAGAGATATATACATTCTCACACCCGTGGAGAGATACAAGCTATCTCTCAGATTGTGACAATGGACAATTGGTAAACAAAAATATTTTAAGACCGCTGTTCAATTGGGATAATCGAACAGTAATCTTTTCCTAGGTCCGCTTCGTTTTCTACACGAATACTGATCCACAATACAAGGATGAACTATAAGGCTTAGCGATTTTTGATACAATAATTTTAATATGTACAAATATACATATATCAAGATAAAAGAACAGATAAGTATGAGTTAAAACATCCGACGACCAGATCTCAAACTTACTTTGGGATATCAAATTTGCCTAACACCAAATGGATTCAACTGAACCTGGACATACAAAAATATAAGTATGAATTACTATGAATTGAATGCAGAAGCCAACGCACACACAAAAGAGATGGGATAGGAGTTATAATTATTGTTTTACATGTGGAAAGGTGTTGCAAAAACATAATATTTATGGCTTTCTACTATGGGTCCAAAATATGATTACTTATCTTTTTATATTCAGTTCTCTTTTTTTTTTTTTTTTTATATCAATGTCCTTTCTTTTCTTTTCTCGACACAATTTCACACACTGTCCGGCTGTAACAGAGGTATACACTTTCTTCCTCTCTTTGTTTCGCCTTTTTCTTTCCTTCCTTTTCTTCTGTCAACAGCTCGGTTTCCAAACTCAACTTGCTGCAACAGGGATGTACACTTTCTTCCTCTCTTTGTTTCACTTTTATTCTTCTTCTTCTTTACACAATTCAGCTTATAACAGAGGTATACACTTTCTTCTCTGTTTTTTCCTTTTCTTTCTTTACACAATTCAACTTGTAACGGAAGTATACTTTCTTCCTCTCTGGATATCCGTTTTCTTTTCTTTACACAATTCAACTTGTAACAGAGGTATATGCTTTCTTCTCTGGTTTTTCCTTTTTCTTTAAACGCAGGCTGAATCCTCAGCGTAAAATTTCTCTGCGTCTTCAACTTGGGGGTTATCGAACAGGAATACTTCTTGTCCGGAGTTGACTGGATTGAACTGGATAAGTTCCATTACTATCAAATGTGTCTTATCTTTCCAAGTAAATGCCGAAATAGCTTTGTGTTGTGAAAGTAATCTGCGACAAATTTGCTTTGAGAACGCTTACACTTACAAGCTATTTCGGCATTTACTTTGTCTCTCGCAAGATAGCGGACATCCCGGTGTAAAACGGACCCTATATCGGTACCTGATTATCTCTTTCACTACACGTTCATAAACTATCAGCGCTTCGGTTTCAGGTCTTGCCTCTTCAATGTCAAGATAGCAACTGATCCTCGAGTGAATCTCTGACTGTCACGTGTCTTAAGTTTTGGCGCAAATTCTAACTTACATCTGTCCCCTGTCTAGCTTCTGTTGCTACGGTTAATTGGGTCAGTCAACCTTCTGACCTGCCTTCCCAAAATGTCATAAGACTCCCACGTGACCTTTATTCTGTTGCTAGGCGGAAATTAACCCTATTATATGCGTATTTAGGCTATCTGCTTTCATCACCCGTCACACCACTATTCTGCTTAATACTGGGTCTTGCTCTATTTTGAGTCTATTTAGAGGAAGAACGTCTGTTTCAACCCAGTGTATTATTTTGTCTTCTGCATTTTCCTGTTTTTCTTCAGCTTCATTCTTGAAATGTAATCTTGATAATGCATCTACATGAGGGATAGTGCTCCCTTTAACATTTATTATGTTAAAATTAAATGTCATGATCTTTATCACCCATCTCAAAATCCTTGACTATGTTACTTTTGGCAATTCTTTTCTTGGGTTAAATATGAATTCCAATGGTTTGTGGTCCAATTTTAATAAGAATTTCTGTCCTACCAAAAAGTTTTGTGCCCTTTCCATGCTCCATATAATCACTAATGCTTCTTTTTCAATATTCAAGTAGTTAATCTCAGCTGGCATTAGTCTTCTTGATATGTACATGATTGGTTGTTCTTCTTGCGATACGATAGCAGCAATCATCTTTTCACTCATGTCTGTGGTTAATGTTACTTTTTTGTGAATCAAAAACTTTTATTATTGGTTTGCTCCTCAGTATTTTCTTTACTGTTTCAAAAGCAATAGTTTGCTCTTGTGTCCAGTTAAATTCATTATTTTTTTGCTTAATTTTGTAAATGGCTCTATTACATCGCTGTATCTTGGAATGTATTTACTATAAAAATTTATCAGCCCCAAAAAGGATTCTAACTCCTTATTTGTTCGAGCTGTTATTTTCTTTGTTAATCTCTCATCAGGTAATATACCTTCTTTCAATATTTGATATCCTAAATATGATATCTTCTCGTAGTCAAAAATACATTTGTCTTTGTTTATAGTCATACCTGCCTTGTTCAACCTCACTAAAATTTGCTCTGTTTTATATTTCAATTCTTCTCTGGTTCTTGCCCCTACACATATCATCCTGGTAAACTATCATATTTTTTATTTTTTCTAATAAGACTCTTTCAATCGCTTTCTGAAAAATATGACTTGACGTTTTTACACCAAATACGGTAGACGGATCCACCTTAGCAAGCCTATAGGGGGGGTGTTTATCATAGTTACTTCCTTGAATTATTCATCAATTTCTATTTGATTGTATGCTGCCTTGAGATCAATTTTCACAAAGTGCTCCATTTTCACTAACTTGTGGCTTGCAGTTTCAATATTTGGCAACAGAAAAGAGTCCAAACATATCTGGTGATTTATTTCTATTTTGAAATCACCACAAATCCTTAATTCTCCGTCTTTTTCTTTATCGCTACTATTGGTGACACTCAATTGCTACCACCTTGAGTCACTCTTTCTAGTATGCCTTGTATCAATTTGTTTAACTTGGCCACCACCAAAGGCAGGATATGAATTGGGTTCGCTGACCAATGCTGCCTTGTTCACTCTCTGCTCTCGATTTATGTTGTCCTCCTCATTTGCATGCAATACTACAAGGTGACTGGAATTTTGAACCAAACCCTTTATTTGGTCCAGTGGAGAAATATGTTGGTTAGATCCAGTGACTAGACCCAGAGAGTTGTGACGTGGAATGAAAACAATCTATCCCTGTGGACGAAATAAAGGGTTCGGTTCGAAGATGGCCGGAGCATACAACAGCCAAAACATTGTGAATATGGCAATGAAGATGAGGATAACAGTCCGAGTAATGTAAATAATGCAAATTCAAAACCATTATGTTTTATAATTCTGCTCAATTCTCTAAACCTTTTTATTTCATTTGATTCTATTTATTTCTCATTTTTATATGTACATGAGTAGATCAATAAGTTTGTATTCTGACAGTTATGAGCTGAATTTTAATTTGAAATTTTTGTTATATAATATTCAGTCTTTGATCAATATTAACCACTGAATTACATGCATTGACAAAGTACAGTACTGTAATTGATGGTATCTAAGATCTATTTCAATCTGTTTCTATTTAATATTTAAAGTATTATGGAAGTAGGCTTAATACAAGATGATGACAGCCAACCAGTTGCTTTAACTTTTCATATAAAACAGATTTTTTAAACATTTTTAGGGATGAGCTTCTTATGATGCCAAATACAGTATGTTGTAAAATACATTTTTTATCATTAGACTAGGAACTTACATATTTACTGTTTGTAAAATAAGCAACAAAAACTATTTCCGTTTATAGTGTACTGTGGATATGAATAAATATCGAAATATTTAGAAATCACTCATAACTCTTCTTTGTCAATCAAGAATTGATGTTTTTAGGCATTAACCTTCATTTAATGTACAATTATATTGGGATGGGGAAATTTTCCACACAAAAATTTTAAAGTTAAGCATTTAATATTGAACATCTGCTTAAACATTAACTACAGTTTTCGGGAAAAATTTAAATACTGTTCTCTAAGTGTCATGCCCCTTTGAGATATAGGCAATCATGTTTCTCCATATCTCCTGTTCCTTTTTAATATCTGTAAACTGTACATTGCCATGACTACTCTTAGGAAAGTTAGTAGTTTCCTGTTGCCTTCTCCATGGTTTTGAATTATTGTTCCAGAATACCCTGTTATTTAATTCATACCAAGGAGAAGAATAGCTGTGTTCGTGCTTTTCCCAAGGGTATTAGTGAAAAGTATATAACATACTTAACAGCATCAGTTGGAATTTGAACTGATTTGATTTTTCTTTCTGTTAATTCATTTTGCTTTCACATTCCCATTATAACATTTCTAAATCACAAACGTTATTGAAATATGTCTGCTCTTTTGTTCTTGTAAGTAAACTGTTTGACTTTCTTTTTCTTTTAACTTTTCAAAGCAAAAAAAATGTTAATCATTGAACTTACTATGAAAAATATCACAAATTTTGTCTTGTAATTTATAAAAAAAATAAACATCTCCTATTTTTCAGATCCTGCTGAGATTGCCTTTTTGAAAACCTGCAAGGTCTGTCTACAAAGGCAATGTGAATACATGTGTTTACCTTGTAAACATTTCACCTGCTGTAAGAAATGCAAGGATGTTTTTCACAATTGCCCAATTTGTGAACTACCTATAATCTTTCAAAGTGCTGATATGTATAAAATTATTGAGGAATTTTTAAATCTCAGTTTATAACTGTCTGCAAAGATTCAAGGAGTAGGGAAGTAAACATTTGTAACATTTTTTTCAAAATATCTTTTTCATTTTGTTTGTTCTTGACACTTTTGTATAAGTGTTAGATTACTTATATTTATTAATTGTATCTTATTTTCCTTTAGTGTTAGTAATGAATAAGTGATCTTTAGGCACATATTTAATATAAATCAAGAAGAGACATCTGTTAGATTATAAAAGCAACACTTGTTGAGGTGAAAGACTCAGATTTGATAGTTTATCTTCACTAGTTGCCTTTGAAAATATTCCATGTTTTTGAATCATATTAGATTTTATTGTAAATTATTTTATTTCATATAACTATGTAGACCTGGAAAAGCACAAACTATGCAGCTCATAGAATTCACAATGACACTATGATCCTGACTGTGTGTAATAGATATAGTATTACAACTGTTTTCACTGCAGGATGGTAGATAGATTCCTCTTTATACTTATAAATTTTTCATATATTGAGTATCAAACTAAGACTAAGGAAAAAAAAGACAGGAGTACATTATAAGATATTAAAAAATAATTTTAACGCATACATGCAAGGTTTAAAAAAAAGCAGCAAAAAGTATACTTAAGATCAAATCTACACTTTTCATCTCTAGATTAAGTCATGCTAAAACTAAATGTGTAGATTTAACATCCTCCTGAGAATTGGATTATTTTCATAACTTTAATGAAAGATATTCTTCTTATTTAAAGAAACATATGTGCTTGTCAAAATTAACAAATATCACTGAGAAGCAAATGCAAAAATTGTTCAAAATCATTTTTTCTGTTGCTTGATCAGCCATTTAAAAGATCAAAAGTTTTATAAAGTTGGCTGACTAATGATATGCAATTTAGATTTCATTATTTACAATTTTTGCACAATGATGATTTCAAAGTGCATATACAGAAGATATTTTTCTCTGTGAATGAATCTGTTGATTATTTGATACATTCAAAATTCTGGCACACTGGCTGTTGTGGCTCCACTTCTAAATAAACACATTCTAACAATAATTAGCAATACAACCACAAATTACATTAGAAAAAAAATAATGCTTTGTTGTCCTTCAAAAATTGCATAAGCTATCTCTTAAAAGGTTTTTTTTTTGCAATCTATGTCTTAAAGAATAACTTTGAAAAGCTTAAAGGTAACAAATTATAAAATTGTTTCTACTATGAATGTAATTTTATTCTTGTGTTTTTGCTCTCGGGTTTACTTTCAATGTAAATTATGACTTTTCCATTGTATGTAAAAAAAAAAAAAAAAAAAAAAAATGATTTCAAGTTTCCTATTTAAAAAATATCTTTTTGCAATATCATTTAAATAAGTTTTATCATATGATATTTAAATATGAACATAAGAGTGTATTCTAATTCACACATATATATCTATAACTCATTGTGAATAACAAAAATTTGTTTTATGATTTATGTAAATTCAGTTCTATCTCCTACAGCAATAAATAGGCACTCATTTTTCTAACCAATTTAATCGAAGACATTTAAGAGGGCAGTTCCAAATTTTTCTTCAAAATGGAAAAATTGTTTATTATTGATGAAGAGCTTTACAGATATGTTTGTAAAAATCATTATTCAAGCTTATATTTAGGATTTAATAATAAAGAATTTACAAATGAGTTAACAGTGACTTCATGAACAAATAATGAACAAATACAATAAGTACTTCAGAAGCAATGTGGTTACTCATTGTAAACAAAAGAAATTTTTAATTTTTTATTGAAATTTCAGGTGTCAAAATAAAAGTAACCCAATCATGATAATGTTCAAGTGGATTTTAAAAACTCTAAATGTGATGAAATAATTTTGAAAATTGTCAGCAGATTTTTCTAAATAAATATTTTACAAAGTTTTTATTTTCCCTCTAAATCATTTTCTTTAGCATGATTTATTTTATTTAAAATCAAAAAATAAAGTTATCACTACATTTGAAAAACGACAACTGTGCTGTATTTAAATGTTCTAAAATGCAAAATGGAGTCTGTACACTTGAATAATTTCCAGGGCACAAATCCGAATAAAGACATAAACCCGATTGATTACTTCCCTTGAAACTTCGTTTTTTTATCATGGCAAGGATAAAAGGTAGCCTAACGGTTAATGGCACATTGAATGAAATCTATGAACTGGGTTGACATTCCAGCTTGGAAAAAAATTGAATCCACTTCACACTGATGCCCTTGAAAAAGTCATGAATCCATTTCTTCCCTCATTGAATAACATGACAAAGCTCTTTTAAGCAATCCATTTTGGGTGTCTTAGTCTTGGAAAAAAACATACATACACACAATGATTGGTTCTCTATAAATTGTTTAAGAAATATGAACAAAAATTATTGCCTAGTGTTGTGAAAATACAGGAAGAAATTTTGCAAGAATAAATTACAAAGCAGCATAAACAAAATTAAACCATTAGATAGTTACTAGAAATACCCATGAAATTTTATAATTTTTAATTTTTCTTAAGTTAATCATTGAATAAGCTTATGTCAAGTTCTATGAAAAGAAAATAACTGTAGAAATTCCCCTATCACTTTGTTAAATATTTGAACTTAACAACTTTAATGAAATATTGCAATAATAGTTATAAATATGAATGCTTTAAGCAGTTACAAATGAAAAGATTTTAAATTGACAACTTTTTCCATACACTGAAATAGACATTATCTTCCTTTCTTTCTTTCTTTAATTCTCTCACTGAAACCAAGTAGCATCTCTGATATTTTTCCCACCTTTCCACACAATCTAAGCAGAATAGTCTACTACTTATGAAGTCTTTACAGAGCATAACAGCCATGCTAAGTGAGGGACAAACAGAATGATAAGATACTTTGTTTTTTTTTTTTTATAAGCACTTTCTTCATTTTATTTCTCTTGCTTTTTATTACAACACTCTGGCTTCCAGAAATAAGTGATATATATTCATATCTCACCAAAAGCTTAATTTTTATTTTATATTCATAATAATCTGAGAGCTTGTAAGAAAAATACAATGAAAAACAGACTAGTCAAATATTAATAATGATAATACTTCATCTAAGAAATTCAAAGACTATTACTGCTAATATTACTAGTGTAAATAAACAAAACAATATGCTCACATCATGTAGATTGAAGAAGCAAAATATATCATTATATAGCTAAATGTAAATGACTGGTTACTTTTAATAGCATAATCAGTAAGGCATTATCATGTTGTCAAGGATTAGAGATGCAATATCAATACTTGAAAGAGGCTTAGTTTTTATTTCCAATCTATACACCTGAAGTCATAGAATAATGACGTGATAAAAAGCAACAGAAATGAACAAAAGAAATAGTCAAAATTTAATAATGAAAGACACTGATTCATTTAAGAAATTCAGACTTAATAAATCAAATGCTTAATCATATGGGTAACTGTTTACTTTGAAAGTCATTAATTTTCTATATAGAGCTTTTAGTTTTTATAATCTTCTCTTAATCTGGATCCTGAATTTATAAGCAACAGATTTTATTATTTTCATGATTGGTGAAAATGAATGATGAAGGTCCATGAAGCAGGAGTTCAGTATATTAAGCAATGTTTGTTTTTCTTTACCTTACTGAAATAAAGCATAAACATTAGCCTACCAGTTGCCTCAATTTTCTAAGTTGAGATAGGAAGATATTTTTTAACCATTATTAAGGGTGGGCTTCTTATGACACCAAATCAATATGCTGTAGAATATTTTTCTATCATTAGGCAAAGAATTGAAATATTTACTGTTAATTTTTTTATTGCTTATTTTATAAGTAACAAAAGTTATTTCTATCTATAGTGTACTGTGGATATGTATAAATATCAGAGCATTTGAAAATAACTCCTCTTTGTTAATGAAGTGCTGATGTCTTTAGGAGTTAACCTATTTAATATAAAACTAGTTTGCTACCTATCATATATCATACCTGACAGCCAGATGATCAACATTCAGATCTAAATTGTTTGTCTATTTGAAATACATTTATTAGAAAATATATTCAGTTTATGTACGGAAGGAGTCAAAAGAATGACTTCAAAGAGACTTATATAATATCAGTTGCATTAAATAATTATTTAAACAGAAGTTGAATGTATTTCTATCATCTACACCTTATTTTTATTGTTTGTAGCCACAAATATGACTATAACATACAATTCTTTTCCTTTTTTAAATACAATGACGTATAACCTTCCTTTTGAGAAAATATCAAGAAACAATAGCATAAGAGATAAAAATAACTGAAAAATATTTTTGAATATAATTTTTTTTTATAAACAAAAAATGTAATTTTTGTTAATATTTATTCACATTATTCTCTGATCAAAATATCAAAACCGCATTTCTTTTTTTAAATCAAATATCTACTATGTTTTTAACTTTCTTTAAAAGTATCAGGATATCCAGTCTTAACCCACTATTGTAAATCCCTTCATAAAACCAGATAGTTTTACTTACCCAAATGATAAAAGGCATCAAGAGATATGAAGCAAGTAGGTCTCTAAATAGTGAAAATGTAAATATTGTATCATTGCATATATTAGTAATAATTTCATGGTGCGTTTTTGCACTTTAAGAATAGAACATAAAGTAATCAATATATTTTAATGATAGAGAATAAAAAAATATATTTGCATGGTTTATCCATTTAAATAATTTTCAAACACTTAAAACAATACTGTTATCCTTAAATTTCCTTAAACTCCAACATAGTATTTCTCTTTTTCACTGTTTGACTTATATTTTGCACTGCCCAGATTGTTAAAAAATAATAGATTACAGTTACATGTGTCTAATTCATTCCAATCTTGTTCGGTGTTATCCAGATTGTAGATATATTTTACTTTCTATGGCCACTGTAATTATCTTGCTTGTAAATTTTTTTTTTTTTTTTTTTATGAATATCAAAATTGTTATGCAAGCCAAATGGTGTCACAGCAAAACAGTTACATTATGTACTTGTCATTGTATGATTCTTAAAACATTTCTTATTATTTGTTTTACAAGAAACACTTGCAAAAATCAACAATATTGTAACAATGAATGAACGAATGACAGACTGAATGGAAATTAACCCATTGAATTCGATGAAATTGGCCATTGATTTACTATATTTTTATCTTTATAATGATTAACAATATTGGTAGCACTAAGGAATCTTCTTTTTTTTTTTTTTTAAATTAGCTATAATAAAGTAATTAATTAATAAATCTTTAAAAGTTGAATGCCTACAAAAAAATCTTGCTTTAGATCATCTTTATTATAATTTGTTTTTATATATTTACTTCTTTTTTTTTTCATTTTTTTTTCTCTTGGAATTTGTTTTCTGTCTACTTTTAGCTTTTGCTGGCATTAAATTTACTTTCATTATCTGTCAAAGTGAATGATTATTTAAAGATTCAGTTTGCTTCCTGACATAATTGCATTCATACTTATTTGGCTGAATATTTGTTTCCTTTCATTCCTTGTGTACAGCTTTGTCAAAATTGATTCATTTGAACATATATCTATATAAATATTAGAACCTGAGAAAGAACTCAGGATCACTCATCAGATGAAGCATATTTTTTTTTTTAAATTTTCTTTATCTTTTTTTGGTTTGTTTTTCTTGCTAATATGTAAATCTGGTAAAGTTTTCAACAATTGCAGAACATCAACTTTTATAGTTTTTTTTATTTATGTATTTTTTCTTGCCCATCGGGATTATTTTCAGAGACAAAAAGCAGCAATATGGTAAGAGAATTGATTCTAATTGTTGAGGCTATTGAATTCTCTCTTTTTGGCAAATCCATTTTATATTCTTCATGCATCATTTATATATATATATATATATATATATATATATATAAATGATTTAAAAAAAAATGTTATCTCTTTTCATGTGCAGATGATCGTGGCCATTTAGAGTTTCTTTTTTCTTTACTTTCTATAAACTCTATTGCTATGATTTTTTTTTTTTTTTTTTTTTGAGAAGGTTCGCTTTTTTTCTCAGGTTTTGAATTCCACACTGTCTTCTAGACAGGTTAAATCAGAGCTCAGTTTGCCTTGCTATTTAATCCATAGTTGTGGAGAGAGAAGTGGTTTCATATCTTTCCCTAGAGCATTAGTGCAAAGTGAACACAAACTGTTTCTGCTGATATTTGAATTTGGCTTACCAATTCCATTTTCCACACTTAAATATTAGTTAAACTTCTGTAATTTTCAGAAAAGTCATAATTCTGTGAGTCTTTTTGTGGCTGCCATAACATTTTGACCAATCTACTCTACAGCCTTCTTCGGGGATAGAAGCTATCAAATTGAGGTCAAAGTAGAACATTTAAGATGTAAAATAAAAATCAAAAATGTTCAAGATAAATTCCTTAAAATTGTTTTTGTCTTAGTTATTTTACTTATTAATTTAATAATATTGACATTTTTTTTTTTTAATCATGAAAATAAAATCATTTAATAGTGATTTAAACTTAAGAAATACAAGAAAGAAAGTATCTTCAATAATATGTTTCTCTCATTGAAAACTTTTTTTTTTTAACCTATATCCTCTTGGTATCTGTTAAGCTAAGTTCTTTTTTCATTTATATATATATATATATATATATTGATCATTTTGTTTAAAGTTAATATTTTCTTGTTTTTTGATAAAAACATGAACATTTCCAACATACTTAAGTAAAATTTTCACTTTCCAAATTTTCATTTAGAATTTTGGGTCCATGATCTCGTTTTCAGTTTTTTTGGGTTTTTTTTTTTAGTACTTAGCTCTTCATTTGTTTTGAACTACATCAATTTTCAGCCAATTCTATCAAACTGGTGTTGTATCTAGAAATTGACTCAGCTTGATGATAGATTCCGTAAAAAGTAAGTTTTTCATTTTTTTTAGGTTACAGATTTTGAATACTGTCAGTTTCACCTGATACCATGAGTGGAAGAGCACAGATTCCTTCTTTTTCTTTTTTTTTCTTTTTGTTATGTCATGAATTCCCAAGAATTGTCATGAATTCTTGGTAAAGATAGTGGCGTGGTTTCCCATTACTTTCTCCACAGTTTTGAATTCAGAGATTTCCTTCTCTTAACTTGATTGAATTTATACCTTTCCCAAGGATATTTGTGCAACAGATTCATCTAAAATTTTAACTCAGCTCACAGATTCCTCTTTCTGTGCTGATTTTCATTACCCCTACATGCACATCCAGAGTACATGTATCATTTCACAAGAAACACTTGCTTTGCTGAAACTATTAGCAAATTAACTTATCAGAAATGTCTACTGTTCACTATTTCCTTTTGTTACATCAGCTTCATGTATTATTAATTAGATGAAAGTGTGATTTTTCTACCTGAAGCTTCAGTAACAAAGAAATATGTGGAAAGTTTCAGTGTTTATGTGATGAAATGAAAATGATTTGCTTGTAGTCTACAAACCATATACATTTAAGGTGATCATAATTTTAAAATGATATTGAAAAAAATTAAGACTTAGTGGATATGCGGAGTTGCCATGACAAGGAATTTACTTGGAAAGAAGAAAGGATGAACATAAACTGAGCAATGATGATGAAAAATTAATTTGAAGAATGTAAAATATATTTGCATTTGAATGACAACAACCTTGATCAAGCTGACAGGTTTATCTTAGTATAACCAGTATCACACAAACAGCAATATTTGTCAAATTATCAGATTACACAAAATATCAGTGTTGACAATGGTGCCTTATTTTTGTGGACTTTGGCCAGAGCAGTATACCCATGACAACTTTATCAAGTTTGGTTGCAAATTGTAGGTTCTGGCAATACTGCACTGTTGTATTCAATTTTATCCCTACGCTGGTAAAGTTTTTACATGCATTGTCAACTTTATACATTAAAACCTATAAGTGCATATTTATACTTAACATATGTTTACTGAACTAGGTAGAGTATTAGCATGTAAATGATGAGGACTATGTTTCAATCAGTTTTATAAAGTGACATCTATCATTAACCATATTAGTCTGTGAGATTTAATACTACTTACATTGCTTCATCATTTATTTATTCAAAAGTGCTATAATTTAGTCCTGCAACTACAAGATGGCATAATGGTCAATAACGCAGAAAACATAATTGGTGACACAAGTTTAAATATTAGCTGAAGCTGTTAACCTCGTACTCACACCTAGAGAAAGGTATGGACCCACTTCTCACTGCAATGTTTTTCTTAAATTTCAAATTGTTATACTAATTTTTAAAAAATATTTTAATATCTATTTGTTAAATAATTTATTCCTTAAATTTTAAATTGATTTATTTTATACATTTTTTATATTAAATGTTTCTATTTAGCATTTATTATATTCCAACTACTGGCTCTGTCCAGTTATTTCATTACTAGTATTTTTATCTTATATAAAATACAATCACACACACAATCATATAATGTTGTGCAGTCAGGTAAATTGCTTTTTATTTCTTTTATATCAGATTTCTTTTGATATTTCTATTTTTAATGATATAAGAAGCATAATTCTTCATGACCATCACTTCTCAACAGGAAGTTCTAGTTAAGGGAGATAACTTTGAATTGTGTGGTCTTAGACTTAATTGTAAAAGATAAAAAGAATATGCAACAATATAGCTAACTGCATATTAAAAATCCTAGATTACTTATGCAGAATATTATAACCAAATTCAGTTTAATAGTACATTCTCATTGAGGATGCTAAAAAAATTCTGTACAACTGGAGATTTATTTTATTTAAAGAAAATATTTATTTAAAAAAATGAACCGTCATAATTTATATATGTTTTAGGTTAGTTTTAACT